TGGTGTGGCTGCGCGGTGGCATCAGTGCCACACAAAGCGGACCGTTCGGCATATCCCAAGGCGACAAATGTCAGGGAGTTTGCATCCATATAATGTGCAAACTCCGCCTCACCATCATCGCGGTGAAGCTGAAGAACGACGGTGTCGGGCAAATAAGAAGGCATTGCCTCCAGCTCAGGCGTTGGCTGCTTTCCACACAGCACGGGGAAAAGCTACTTCTCATAGTTTTTGACGATAGTGTCCATCGCCGCTCGAGCGTCGCCGGCCAATGAGACACGAATTCGCGCCACCATTCGCACACGAGGTCCCTCCTTCAGGGAGCCCACAATAACTCCGGGCTCGTTGTCGGCGTCAAGAAGGTCTGCGCGATGCTGTGTTGACCCAATGACATAGCACGAGAGGGCAAAAATGCCCTTTTTGGCGCCCAGCCAAATAAATTCGGTGATGACTCAAGCAGCATATCCTTCTCCAGCTGCACAGCCGTACATGAGCTGTCGCTTTGGTGAAGAACGCACGCCGTAGATGAAGGCCACCATGTTCTTGCGTTCATAAGTAAAGTTGGGGGCGGTAGTGGCACACAATTTTCGGAAGAGTGTACTTGCGTCCGGCACGTCCAACGCCACATCGACGTCAAACAAGGCCTCAGCAACCGCAAATCCGGCATCCCTCAGGGGCTGGAGGCAATTCAACTGCGCCGTGTTGCCGTCCACCCGCATTGTCGCAAGGAGCTGCGAGGACGGCGTCGTGGTTTGGTGGGAGCAGAAACGGCCTTCGCCTCCATTGGAAGAATATCACATTGAATGCTGCGCTGTGCGTTTGTTGCATGCACAGAGAAAAGGGTCAAAGACAGAAAGAAAGAAAAGAAGAGAGAGACCGAGAGGGAAACAACACTGAATAATATTCTGGGCCGCTGTCCGGATCCTGAAATTATCCAAAAAGGACAGGAGAAAAAAAGCGGCAAATGGAGAGGCAATGAGTTCGCCGCAATGTTTTCCCCAAAATATATGCACATTCCGTCAATCACTGCCGCGGACTGCTGCGCACAGTTACAATTAGAAACACTTATCCCCTGCGAAGCGGCAGGCCTTTGGGGCTCCTCCACCCACAAGGTGGGAATCACAAAGTGGGTGGGTGGGACGGCAAAAATAAAAATAAAAAACAATAATTTCGTCTTACATCTGTCTGCTCCCTGACTCCCTCAATCGCGGTCTCCAAAAAGACCGTACGATAAAAGAGAAAAAAGTTGTGAAGAGATATCTTCGTTTGTGCGAGATATGAATTTATTTGGACAGCCCGCCGCCCTCTCAAGCATTCTTTTCACAAAATCCCATGAAAATAAAGAGAAATTCTGCGGCCCCTGTAGTGCGCAACAGCCTCCAGTGACGATGCGCCTCTGGTGGAAAAAATAAAATAAAATCAAAAAAGAGTGTGGTGAGTGTGGCACTGCCGATCACAACGGTTCTCTGAAAGGAAAGGCATTCACTGTCTAGGCCCCGTAGGCACACACATATAAAAATCGTTAAAATACTTCCTAATATATTTCACCAAAACGAAGTGCACTTTGTTACTATTTTTTTAAATTTTCTTGCTTTTTTTATACCCCTCAGGCAGACCATCATGCGAAAATTTGATTTCCTCAGGAAATTTACCTTCTAAAATAACCTGGTATTGGTGTACCTTTCCGTCCCAGAACGCCACAATTTCTTTTTCAGCGTCGCTCAAATTCTCGGTATTGACGGGACCACATCTCTGCCAGTTCGTTATCATTGTGCTGTTTTCGTGCTGCACATAAATCATCTCCCACGACATGTCTCGGGATAATTCCTCCCAACCATTAAAATATGCCGCCGGACACACAGTGAACTGCCTCACAGTGCTGGCGGTGGTGTGGCACCCACCCGCCGTCGTAGCCATCCGCAGCCCAACCAGCGTCCTCGGATTTGACTCCACGAAGAAAAAGCCGTCCACCAGCAAAAAGGCTCCAACCGCCGGTATGCACAGCAGCCGATGCTTTATATTAGTATTTGTACGGTATTCCATTGCAAGCAATACGCATAAGACTCGGCGGGGTGTCCTCCAGGAATCGCCTTCAGCTCTGCGCACTGTCCTCCACGGCGTGCTGGTGGCCTCAGCTCCTTCAGGTCCTCTACTAATGCACTGAAAAACTCCCCCAAAAAATTAATGCGCGCAAGCCAAACCTTCCACACATTCAGACGAAACAGTATTCCTCTTCCCCAATACTAGCAACAGAACCGAATCCCCATCACTCATCACGTCTCCCAAAATAGTGCGGTATTCGACGCCAGAGGCAAACAGATATCGGTGCGTTGAGAAATCCCTCGGCACCGACTTCTCCTCTTGCTCGGGCAACCCTCACCAGCTTTTGAGGCGGATTCTCAGAATATCACAGTCTCACTCCCCCATGTGTAAAGTGCCTTTCACCATCCCGGAAATTGATCCCTTCCAAGGCATCCTCAGTGGCAGCGGAGTGTGCAATGAACTCATTCGCATCGAAGATGTAACGTGGAATCGGCCCCACTTTTTCCATGTGTTCTTTGACCATCTTCCGGTATTCTGCTTGCCCATATGTAGTCCCATCGCGCTTCATCCAGGCGCACATCGCCTTCACATCCATCTCGTCGGGGCAATTCATGATGATTCGCTCGGCTTTTACTTGCGTCTCCCATTCATCACAGTTGCCCACGTTTGGGGGTGACACCACAATCATGCCCCATCCGGTGCTAGACACAAAATATTCCTCTGGCGGTGTTCCTTTCTCTGTCACACAGTAGATAATATGCCCTTTCATCACACAATCCCACAATCCCACAAAACGTCCGTGGATGCTCCTCTACCCACGTATCTTGTCACCGTCTTGATGGCCTTGTCACACACGTACGTCGTACTTCCACCAAAACTGTAGACAACCACTTGGAGTTTCTCGACGTCGCAGTGCAGCAGCTGGTAGAGGAGGTACAAGCCGGCACCCATCGACTTCCCGATCCCGGGCGTCCCAATCAAGCGATGCTGCTTGGGCTTAAAGTCGGTCCCACCGTCAGTGCTGAACCATTCGGTTATATCGCCGCTGACGATCTGCCACGCTCGATCCACCTCACAGTTAACACACAAGTCATTACCGGCCCTATGCGGCCCATTCATCGTGTACGGCCATCCCTTGTCCGAGGTGAGCACCATCAGCCTGGGACGCGGTGCACCGGATTGCTCCACACCATCATCCTTTTCGAGAGAGTCGCCAACTGCCTTGTACGTCCATGACTGCGGTGGTTCCCCCTTCTTCACACCCATTCCCGTCCCTTTGTCACCAGGAACTTCCTCGACATGATGCCACCTCGCATTGTAAACAGACTCGTACAATCCCTCCAGGTATATCGGTGCACTCGACTTCTTTGGGTTCCTCGCCTCCTCGGCGGCTGCATTCAAGAACCATTTAGTGATTTCATGAACATTTGCCGTTACCTCCACAGTAGCCACCAACCACCTCAGTAGATTGTCCACACAATGCTCGTAAAGCTTGTTTACATCCTCTTCCAAATCCATTTCATCCCGTACAGCCCTCTCCATCCTCTTGTAATGATCCGATGCCTGTATTTCGTTCAATACTCCCGCATCGCGAATATACTTCTTGGGGTCCTCAAAAGACTCCTCCAGTAAGCGAATCTCATTGGCGTCCAAAGCACCCCTGCCTTCCAATTCCATCGTAAGAAAATCATTCAGCCTCGTTTTATTCACGCGAACCATTCCTTTAAACACCGCATACTTAATCCTAGTGGAAACGTCAATCCCCAGTTCTTGTCGTTCTCGCCTTTCCCTTTCTTCTGCTTCCCGCCTCGCTTCGCTCAGTACATAAGAGTAGGCTTTGTTTATTTGTGCCCTTGCAAGAGGAGTGACCGTATCCTTTCTTTCAAAGTTACTCCAATGCCTGAAAGTGACAGTATATTTTTTGTTAAGCTTATTTGAGGCCTCCAATAGCATGTAAAACTCCTCACGCTTTTTTTTCAGTTCTTGGCATGGCGGCGATGCCTCTATTGTCCTCAATAACACTTCGTCTTGGATGAAGTCATTGGGGCTACTTAAAAAGTCCTTCATATGGGCGTTCTCACTGAATGCCTCAACGCCCCTGCCGCCAAAATAATACCGAAGGAAATCATTCAGCCTCATGTTGGTGATGCGTTCCTTTCCCTCCAGCAGCACCCTTTCCAGCCAACTTTCAAGAGTCCACTGCGGTTGCCGTGGTTCCTCCACTCGTATGTGGGTTGCAGCGTCGGAACCATCAGAATAGCCACGGCGAGGTGCCATCACAACACCCGTGCGGTGAAGCATCCCACTCGCACCGCCCAACCGCGGCCAGCAGGTGCCGCTGGCTCCAAAGGACACTCGCGGCTGTTTCGTCTCGCTGTCCCAATGGCGTTGGGCGTGGCACTCGCACGGCTCGGTGGTCGGTGCGCCACGCAGCCGCACTGCAACGCCTGTCGGTGAAGCAGTCGAGGCCCACCACCTCCGCAGCAACGCAACGTGCAATCGGAAGAAACAACGTCACATTATCGCCCTGTATATTTTATGATTCACGTTGTCTGTCAGTTTGACCCATCACCGACACAAAAAATAACTCCGCACTCTCGCAGAAGGAGATGAAAACGCGATCCCACCGCCCCGCCGCGGATCAACACTCTCCTCCACCCACCACCATCGCAGCACAGGGGACCGCAGTCACATCGCAGAGTCAACACCACAATGTGCACCACACCATCGTGCAGTGAACAATGGGCGAGACGCGGCCATGCACCGCCCCGCTCCTTTTTCTCACCTCTCAAGTCTTGCGTGCCCGCACAAAGTAGCAAACAGAATCAGCGCGCAAACAAACCCAATCATCCCCCTCACTTGCTAAACCAAATTATTCGCATGGAGTGGCACTTAAGCACACAGCACCAATAGCAGGCTGCATGGAATTTCCCTGCCGGCCCTGCAAAGCGACAACAACTCTACCGAATCAAAGTGGCAGCCCCTTGGTGCTGCCCGCAGTTCACATGGCAGGACAAACTCCACGCACGCATAGTTCCGGATTCCTCGCTGTTTGAGTGCACACCAACAGAACAAGTGAAAAAAATACGTGCGCGCAAGACGGCGGTTAAATACGCGAATGTTTCAGCCTGTTTTGTTCGATAGCGTTGGCGAGCGACCCACACAATCCAGTCAAAATGACACGCCGGACAGAATGGCGTCAGCCAATAATAAACAAAAATAATTGCGCCAATGCAAAAAGCAGCAGAAATTTTGTTTTTACTCCCGAATTCGGGGGGCGACGGTGGCATGAGAGTGTGTATGTGTGCAAAGACTTTCGTGGGACGGTGCTGTCCAATCCCGCCGTGCCCTGACACAAAAGGGCAGCAGAAAAAAAAAATAGGAGCACACTCTCCAGAAAAGGAGTGACGGTTGGGCAGTCAACCCCCGTTCCTTCTCACGTGACATACACATATGTGCACTCCACCTCAAATACGTACCTCCCTGAACGCCGCATGCATGAAGTGTGGTTTCGTCACCCGCAATGTGTTTTTCCTCCCGCAAACAACCGAAAAATAATAATAATAATAATAATGGCCATGGCGCAGCTCCACTCAGGGGAAGCAATCGGAACAGACACGAGTGGGGCCAGGGATCATACCAAAAATATGTTTAAAAAAGGGGGTAATAACTCCTCCAAGCCACAGAATCGTGCAGTGTCCATCCCTCTTCCTCTAAATTGAAACCTCCTCAACAGAAATAATGCAGCAGGCACATGTGCAGCACAATATCTTTCGCTATCCCGCGTTCCATCTTAATTCCCATGACTGCCACGGCGGTGGTGCCTGCGTTACATCCGGGATGACTCCAAAATATCAGGCAGCATGCCGTGGAGAGTGGATGCTTGACGAACGTGGCCGCGTCAGCACCTAACAGGAAATGGCGTCAACTACAAAGAAACATCCGCGACTCAAGCTACCCGCGTGTGGCCGTACTAAGGCGACATTGAAACACGTGTTTAGAAACGTAAAAAAGAAAAAAGAAAATGAACCACCAGAGTGATCCAAAAGAATACACCAGTATATACATCCACAAAGAAATACATCACTCCGCATAATTCTTCGATATTTCTCTTATGGTTCTTTCTACACAGCATCAGAAGCATAAAAGGCGGCAGGCATGCCCTCCACACAGTCCTCGTGGAACAGGAGGGAGAGTCACTGCAGGCACCCGCACAAAAAATAGAAACAAACCAACAAAAACCAACAATCAATGACGCTTTCGGGGCGGAGTCCGATGGGTGGCTGCGCAGCTGCACAGCCGTGGCACCCACGCCCTCCCTCATGTCAGCCAGCAACGCACACTCACAACCTCCAGGAGGTGACGCGTCGCAGAAGGGCTTCATTGACTGTTTTCCCTAACGCTTTCCTGAATGCATCCTATGGCCCGCACACAACCACCATCGTCGAGCACGTCCTCATTACTGAGTACAGATATGAAATAGAGAGCACTAGCCTACATATTCGGTGCTGCAGCGAAGAGCGTAAAACACACGCACACACACACATTTGTTACGCATCCGCCCCGGGCTAGCGTGATAGTGTAATAATCCGTTGTCGTCGGTAATCGATAAAATAAAATAAATACACCAAATCACCCAATCAATCTATGAATAATTTAAAAAAAGAAGATGCCTAGCAGAAGCATCCACGTTATGCCGCACCTACAAGGGGCTTTGTGCATTCTCGACGCGTAAAGACACTGTTAGGTCGGGGCCTTTACACCCCAAAAGGTGAAAGCGCACTAAATTGTTCGTCAAGCAAAGCATCCTCACCTGTCCAGAAAAGCATAATTAATGCTGCAGCTCGCACTGGATACACGGTCGAACAAGCTGAAGGCGTCTGAGCGGGTGTCATCGGCCATGGGCTGTAACGGCGGTGCAGGTGGTCGGTACGACGACGCAACGGTGGTGCCTGAGGCGTACGACGATGACGTCATTTCGTGCGGCTTCTGCGTCTCGTCGTCGCTCTCCTCGTCATCGCGCAGCAGCGCCTCCAGCCCTCCACGCCGCGGCTCGCGCAGCTCCTGCCAGTGGCGGTCCTCCGCGTACCACACAACGACGCCGTACACAGTGACCGCAAGTACCACAGTCGTCAGCAGCAGCACGATAGCCGCGTACGCCCTCGCACCGCCGTCGCTCGGCGCAAGGTGGTTGGCCGCGCTCACCACGCACAGCGCCGCAAGGAGCAGAAAGCTCGCCGTGTGCATCACCGTCAGGAAGGCCGAGCGCATCGTGTTCGTGAAGACAACCACGCCCGCACCCGCAAGCAGCACAGCCGCCATGCAGAAGTACTGGACGTCGCAGCCTCCCACGGGCGGGTGCACAGCCGCAATCAGGCCCACCACACACAGCACCGACAGCTGGAACACGCACCAGTACACGTGGCTGCCCCTCATGTTCGTCAGCATGCCGCCGTACATCCGCTGCTGCGCCGCGGGGTGCCAATACCCGACGGGGTACAGCAGGCGCTCGTGCAGCGGCTTCCTCAAAAACTGCCAGTACCTCGTGAAGCTCGCGCCCGTGTGGCGGGCAATCAAGTAGCACACGCCAGCAGGGAACGCCACACCGTAAAGCACGCCAACGACACCAATCACGCGGTGCTGCACGCGGGCGCCGGGCATCGCCAGTGCAAGCACGGAGCCGAAGAAGATGCCGAGGTGCATCGCGTGCGCCACGACGTACGTCAGGCTCGGGAAGCGCATCGCAGCCCACGCACTCGCAGCGTCCACGCCGCGCCACCGCTGGAAGGCCGCCGTCACACCGCAGTGCACGCACCCGAACACAGCGGCGAGCACCGCGTTGCCCACCACCATCCACAGCGGGTCACGGGCAGCGAACACCGACAGGAAGTACGGCAGCGCAACGGTGCTCGCACGCTCCTGCGCCGAGGCGCATGGCATCCTCGCAAACACGCCGAGCGCCTGCATCTCCAGGATGGAGCCCAGCCCGCCAGTCACCACCACGGCAACAGCCGTCGCACCCGCAACAACGCCGGTGATCGTTGAGAGGGCACTGGCAGCGGCGGGCAGCGTGTCTGACCTGATCGTGAAGGACCCAAGCAGCACACCCTTGCAGCCGCCGGACACCGCCGCAGCGTCGCAGCGAATGACTATCGTCTCGTCGGCAGTAATGAAGTAACCGCGGTGAACGGGCACAGCCAGCTCCAGAACAGTGGACGGATTCGTCGCGTTGCGCACCCACGTCGCGTTGCTCAGCATCGCTCCCCACGGACCGTCAAACCCACTCGGCTGCGCCGTCGAAACCGGCACGAAGCTCAGGTGCGTGCCGAGCTGCGGATCGCGTGCCCAACGAAACGGCGGCGGCAGCGACACCATCAGCCGCGTCGGGACGGCGCTCCCACCGCCACGGACGTCGTTCTGCGTCAGACTTCCACCAGTCGCCGTCGTCGTCACAGCAAGCGTCGGGCACGCCACCTCGCTCCACCACAGCGTGCTGCTCACCGACGCCGTCGGGGTCCGCGTGGGCGACAGCGCCACCGTCTCCGTCACCCGCAGGGTCTCCGTCGGCCCGTGCTGCGTCGGACTGTATTGCGCCGTGCTCAGACTCGGTGTTGGTGTCCACATCGGCGTCAGGCTGCGCGTCTCCGTCAGCGTCGCCGTGTGGCTCAGCGGCGGCAGGGCGGGCGTGCGGTTGCACCCGTCCACGTGCGGCAGGTACACCGGCAGGCAGTCGCGCCCGTACCCGCCATCAGCACAGCGGCAGACGCACGACCCCGACATCGTCCTCGTCGCAGCACCAAAGCAACTCACGTCGGCGTCGCACACGCCACACGCCACGGGGCGGAATTCCCCGATGATGCCGGCGGACCTGTACTCCATCGGCTGCAGCGCCTGCCCGTTGAGTGTCAGGCACCCCACGACGAACCTTCCGCCGGCGTCCCCGAGCGCAACGGTGCCGTCCATCACGACGGGCCCACTGCCGGCGTTCCCGTGGAGCGTCAGCGTGCTCTGCACAAGGTCCGCACTGCGCGGGGACGACGGCGCCGACAGGATCCTGCCGCTGATGCTGTTGCCGCGCACCGACAGCCACGACCCGGACACAAACGACGCCGACCCCCGCAGCACCAGCAGCGCGCCATCGGTCAGCACACCGGCGTTGTCGTTCACCACGACGGCGGACGCGTTGGCCACCACACCGCTCTCGAACACCAACCCATGCGCGGCGTACACCTGGCTCCCCGACACGCGCAGCACAGCGCCTCCAGACCCAACCACGCGCGCACTCGCGTACAACGCATAGTCGCCACCGAGCACAGCCGCGTCCAGCGCGACACCGCCACCGACAAGCTCCAGCACCGCGCCGTCCACCATCACCGTCCGTCCACCAGTCATCACGGTCACGAGGGCAACGCCGGACGCAATCAGCACGGACCGCACAAGCCGCAGGCCCGACAGCACCAGCACCGGTGCGTACGGCGAGGACTGCGAGCCGGGAAGACACACAAGCGGCGTCGGCCTCGCGGCAACCAGCAGGGAGTCCGTCACCGTCAGCACGGACCCCGCGGGGAAAGTGCCGGTCAGCACAAGCGCACCGTTCAGCGCCTCCACGTCGCACACGGACAGCTCCACCGGCCCGCCCTCGTCGCTCCCCGCCGCCCCCGCACCGCGCAACCCTCCACTGCCCATCACGTACAGCACAGCACCGTTCAGCAGCGAGACGTTCTGCACAACGATCCGCACGCCGTCTCGCGCCATCCACGGCACGTAGAGCACCGGACTCACGCCGTCCAGCACGACGTGGCGCAGCGTCACTTCGCTCGCGCCGGCAGGCACAAAGAACACCGACCGCACCGTCACGCCCTCGCGGAAGAACACACTCGGCGCGGTGCCCACAGCAGGCGGCAGCACGGGAGCTCCCACAGGCACGCACGCCTCGCCGTACCCGCCGCTGCCGCACGCGCACACGCACACACCGTTCCTCATGCTCGCAGACGCCGTCCCGGGCGTGTAGCAGTGCGTGTCCCTGTCGCAGGCGTCGCACCCAGCAACGTCGATGCTCCCAGCGTCGCCAAAACCAGCCGCTGCGTACTCCTCCGCCGTCGACAGGACACGCCCACCAGCGTCGTTGCACGCCACCCTCAAATGCGCCCCAGCCGAGAGCGACAGACTCAGCGACAGCATCCGCGGCAGCAGCGCTCGGTTGCGCACAAAGCTCAGCGTGCTCCCAGCAGCGGTCACGGCGCCAGCGGCGTAGAGCATCTCCCTCGAGACGCCGTCGTGCACGTTGCCC